TTTTTTTTCGTGGAAAACGAGTTAGACAGTTGATTGTAGACTTTGATTAGTTGAAACATAGCTGTTGAAACTTTTTTAGCAAACAAAACTCACCCGTTGATCTTCCTTAAATCTCAGCAGATAGCATGTTTTGAAATGTCCTTTATAAGTTTCAAGCAATGTGTTCTCTGTTCCAACGGTGTCTCGCAAGCAGAGAATATTTACGGTCAACACACCTAGATTGCATATCTATCAGTGGTATGTTGACATATGGATTAAGCAGGTTAAGGAATCTGGGTAGCCGAGCTTCTTCTGTGATTAAAGAGCATTAGCTTAGCGGGTGTTTAGGAGACATTTTGTTTGCCCAATCATGGCCGGAAATGACTAATTTGAAATTCTGTAGATAAATTCCTTTTGGGTTTGGATTATCTGATTCAAAATTATTTAGTTGCTGTAATGCAAAGAGAAAGGTCAAAATGCTTTTGGAGAGTTTTAATATATAACATGGCAAAAAAACTATTTTTTGTATTTTCTTTTGGTTCTATTCTTCGCCCTTCATAGCACTGTTCGAACGGCCGTTTTTCTTTAGCCCACTATGCAGTGATTATGTACAATTTTGAGTTTTCGTACATGTAAAAGATATCTTCAAGAGTTTTTCATCAAGAGCAAGCCCTATGTTTCAGCAATTTCATGGAAGAATTTTTGGGGTTAAAAAAGTTTTTAGACGGATTAAGTGTAGGTGGACCTCCTAGCTTTAGGGTTTGATCATATCTGCAAGGACACTGTTCTCAAATCCATGAAGAGGAAGATACTTATTCTTTAGTAATAAGATCTCACCATCATCATCAAGCAGATTCGACATATGTTTGATCACTTCCTCTCTTGTAAATTCCGGCACAGGGCAAACAATGGGCGCGTCATCATTGTGGCAGGCATCCAATATGATGCTTTTATACTTTTCCCCTACAAATAGTTTGACGTGAAGAGTAACTTGAAAGTAGTCATTCTAGAAAAATACCTCGTTTCACAGCATTTGCCACAAATACTACTCCATCTTGGACGAATATCTTGTTTGTGTCACTCTCTTCTACCCCAAACCATTCTTTTGCTGCTTTGACCATGAGCG